AATTATTGCCTGTCCGGCACATTCTGTGCATATCAGCACAAATATAGCACTAAAAACGACCGAACTGTCCCTCGTCGGGTCACTGATGTTCTACCTGGGTGCGGAAAAATGCCGCAGCTTGCTACTTCATAAATTCAAAGAAATAAAAATTAAACTGTCTGGCTAACCTGTGGAGTTTGCCTGCTATTATTTTGCAGAGATCTAAGCAACACAGTTTTGTTGGTCTTATGGAATGTCTCCATGCGCAATTCAATCTTATACGCATCGATCATTCGAGCATACAGCAAGAATTCCAACGCTGAGCTAAACAAAACCAATGAATTCACAAATGAATCCATTTTTATTGAAATCTTTCATTCAACAACTGGAATATTATCCAGTAAGATATTAATATTTATTTGAACTCAGGTACTAAGATAGTTATAAGGCATAAGAAAAATTACAAACTCTAATTTAAGGATAGACTGTAGCTCAGCAAAGTGTACTAAAAATATTACAAATTATGATTCGGCTTATCAATGGCCCGAAAAAAACTTTTTTTATCAATTCGACCCACCTCAGCCGCCCCAAATGCACCATCCACTTCTGATTTGACCTTCTAATTGGCGTTACTTATCATTAGAAACAAAGCTTATATTAGTGTGGTGTACGGAACTTCCAAAAACGGCTGTGGACCGGGAGGGAACCGAACCGCAAGCCTTCACATCTGGATGAGACGTGCTATCCACTACACCATCGGCTCTTATGCTTCTACCTGTCTGCACATTTACAGTAAGTCTGCCTTTCAAGGCAAAATACACCTTTCTTTTCTTGGCTGCCTCCTATAAGCAGTACGCATCTTTTTCTCTGTTGATGCTTCTTTTTTGCCGGCTTTTCACAGGTTCTCCGCGACATTTAGTTTCAAAAGCCATTTGAAGTGAAGCAACAGCAACAAAATATAGTCCTGAACTAGCTAACTGACCACTGGATACCAGACCCATATTTTTCGCTGGCGACTTTCTCCCGATAGCGCTTTTAATTTTAACATCTATTTACTAGTATCACAGATGACAGATTTTTAGAGCAACATCCAAAATCAGTGGGCTGTTTTAACACTGAGAATCAGCAAATTCAATCACTGGTCTGTTGCATTCTGCACAAATGCTCGGTGTGGCCAGCTTGGAATAAGCTGCTGCCAAGAACCACTACCGCAGAAAAGGTTTAAAAACGGTGCGAAGTTTTGGGTAGTGCTGATTCACACTGAACTGTAGGAAGCAATTATGCTAAACCGCTGTATTCTAGGCTACACATTTATTATCTTTATAAAGAAAGATGATGAAAAAGTTCTGCTCACCAAACATCCGCTATATCGCGCTTCATTATATTCGGAAATTCCTCGGCTTGCAGCAATCGTAGCAGACAGCATATGCTGCGTATTTTCGTCTCATGAGAAGTCATTTCTGTGCTCTATAAAAATCTGCCATAAAACTAGTCGCTTAAACAATTCATGGTTTGAAGCACAGCACAGCATACACTCACAACTTCAGCACATTTTTTTGAAATATTTACATTATGAATGATTACTAAGCAAATTAACATCTTTATAAGTATCAGAAAAACAGCAAGATGCTGTGGAAAACCCGCGGAAAGCCAGCAAAGAAGAAACCGCCACAATGAAAAAGAATTGTTTTGTTTACTGAAAGCAGACAAGGCTGTGTTCCGCTTTGAAAGGCAGATACACAGTAAGTGTGCTGACAGGCTGAGATTAGAGCACAGCGGCCGGTGGTGTAGTGGATAGCACGCCGCGCTCAGGCGTGAAGCGGAACAATTCAATTCCCTTTCGATCCATAACCCTTTTCAAAAAGTGTTTCCGTTCACAACAAATCATAAATAAAAATTGAAACAAAACCTGTTTAAATATATTTGCAAGCGTGTATGCAACTTTCTCCCGGTCTTTCAAGCGAGCGAGATGTACAATCCTGAAAAAGGGATTAAATTTTATTAATACTCACATCTTTCTAAGCCACCCATCTCGAGCTTTTCAAATACATGCACAACATTTTACCGCAAAAACTTTCTTTGAAAATTACTCATTTGAAGGACTACATCGTCTTACATCCCAACTGTGTTAATCAAAACCAGCTTTTGTAAAATCATGAGTTTCACGCTTGGTAGCCAGTGCGGCTTTTGTGTCACTCTGTCCTATTCAAAGCGGTAGTTACCTTGAAACAGTAAGATCCATATAAGGTAGTTTGTATATTTCTTCACTACTTTCTGGTTTCTGCATAACCATTGCAAGCTCCGCCGCATCACTTCCACCCGTCTGAAAATGTTTTATTAAAAACGACATAAATTTTAGAACGTAAAAAAAGACTGAAAACTGATTCTTAGATCACTTGTTAAAGCTTCCTCTTGGCACTACTGATAAATTTTACCTCATTCGGATCAAATACTACAGCCATATGAGTGTCCCAATCAAGCCAACGTCGAATAACTCTATCTTGAATTGTATCCAGACTAAGCCCGAGAACTCTGGCGAGCTCGGCTGCACACGGTGTCTTCTCATCTGAACGGTGAAATTAACATAAATGTGATCTTAACAGCAGTAAAAAGGCGCAGCGAGTATCTCAGAATTCTCTTCTTCTAAGCGCACCTTCGAAGCATAATGATTCGAAACAGAAAAAAAGGAGGAAGATGGAAACTGAAATATTAGAATGTAACGGACGGAACTACAAATTATATTTATATAATAGGAATATGAGGAATCAGCCTGTTTTTATTCCTTAACCGCAAAAATTGTCACAGCTCTGCGTGCCAAGTAGAAGCGCAAATCTCTAGAAAATGAACAGTAGAACAGAAGGATTGGTCTTAAATATCTCGTGTGCCGGAGGACATTTTACGATGTAATCTGTGTTTCATTCCTTAGCTGTAAACACAGGCCGAGCAATGCATGTGGGTAGGAGCGGAAATCATCAGTACAGCCTCCTACCTGCCAAGCTATGAACAGTCATGCGACTAATCTGCAGCAAAGATTTGCGAAGGAAAGAAAGATCAGAGAGAGAGAGAGCAAACAGAGCGAGAGAGAATGGAAAAAAAACTGTATATTCATTTAAAACGTTAGTTTGCAGTTAGGTAATTTATTTTAAAATTTCTAAAGGCTTCATACAAAAAAAGACCAAAACTCAGTACGAGGGGCTTTCTTGAAACATATCGATACATACCGACATCCTTGGGGCTATTCCAGTCAACCTCATTTGCATAAATATGCTCGATGAGGTCTTCGGTTTCGGACACCAAATCCAATGTTTCCTGCTTCAGCAGTCCAAACTTCTTCAGCACATACTCAGTGCTATAATTTCTGTACGCCTCGGTTAGGTTTCGGAGGAAATCCACCAAAAAATCATTTTCCCCGCTATCCTGCTGCAACAGTTCAAATTATCAAAAACTCCACACAGTCCTAACTACCACATCTGTAAAGAAAACAATAGCGCACGATCCTTACCTAAGCATTTTTCTCCCTTTGTATGTACTAATTTTAGAAAAATCGACGTTTATGAAAAAATGAAGTAAATTCCCGGTACGTCAGATACACACCATCATTTCAGCAGCAAAATTTCCACTAATTTAAAAAATCAACTTTTTTTTTTGCAATGTAAAAGTATGCCAGAAACCAAAGGGGGAAGGAAAAATTTGAAGTGAGTACGACTCATTTTGTGGACTACTGATGGAAATTAGGTATTCACGAACAGAAAAAAAACCATTTAAGAGAAAGAAAATATAAGATGCAATTTAAATTTAAATATTTTATGGTTATGAAAAAGGCTGTAACTGAAAAGTAATAAATAAAAGTGAAAAAAAAAAAAACTGAATTGTAACGCTTCGGTCCAATCAAGCTACTAAAAATGAAGCATCTGACACAGGCTGTGCCCGGTGTACCACTGCATCTTAGTGATTTTGGAGTTACTACGCCAATAATCGAACGAATCTGGTAATCGTTCAAATGTCAATTTCATAATCTATTTGCAACAGGAGAAATGAGTGGTACCTCCTGCTGCTGCGAAGCCACAAGCCACTCGTTGATAACATCAATTCCCAGTGACAAAATGCGTAATTTCATTTCACCTAAAAACAAAAAAATATCGATTAAATTCAATCCGAAATTGTAATGGCAGTCAAAAATGAGAATTTTGGATAGGGATCTTCCAGCGCAAAATTTCTAACCAATTCAGGCGTTCCCTACCAAAATTTTTATTCATCTAGTTCGATTTATTGCTTCGAGGCTCAATGTATCTTATTTTTTTATTCAATTTTTGAGAACTCAGTCTTCAGATATGGCACTGGTTTAAAAGGGGGAAAAGAGAAATAGCTTAATCGCCGATGGCACGAGTGTTATTACTCTACTACGGGAGGCAGCGAGAAAAAGAAAGATGTATCTTGCTTTGAAAGGCAGATATACAGATGTACTGTGAGGCTGAACCTGGAGACAGGGACCAGTGGCGTAGTGGTAACACGTTCCGTCCAGATGCAAAGGGAAGTGGTTCGATTCTCACCCGTCCAGAACAACTTTTGAGAGAGGGCTCCGTTCCCGGTACCCTCTCTTTTGAACAACCGATTGTGGATGCGATTTCCTGGTAGTTTACCACTAAAAAAAACGTAGAATCTATACACACGCGCACACACACATAGATACGCACACATTTATTCAGTGAACAGTCTGGAAAAAAAATCTTACAAAGCGGCAAATGTTTGAATCCATCTGTTAATCCTTTCAGTGTTCGGAGTCTGTTTGTGGTCTTCAGGAGCAGCTGTTTAATTCTGTCAATATCACTTTGGTCGATATCGAAAGCCTTATTTATACATGCCTGTGCAGTCATCAACACAGTGCTGGACAAAAGATCCGATTTTGAAATATGTATTTTCGGCATTGCTCGGATAAACGTTTGCCAATTCTGTAATTTACATCTATGGATTTATGAAAAATTACATCGAATTCCGCTGAAAATGTTTAGAGAACAGAGAGTTGTTCGCTGCCCTTATCAAGCGCAAGTTGTTGCTTCAGCTGTACTTGTAAAAAATCTACTCGTGAGGAACAGTAACTAGTAATTGGTGCGAGAATAAATCTACGGTGTTTTTATGAAATTCACTGAAAAAGCTAGCCGATATCGCAGAAATTCCGCGGAAGCCCGATAATTGCTTAAAGGGTATGCTGCACAAGGTCCATCAGCCAGACGTTACAGAGTATGTATGGGGAGTGCCAACAGAACACAGCTGCCCAGGTGCGAGCAGTACAAGAGCCGATGGTGTAGTGGTCTAGCACGTCACGTCCACATGTGAAGACGACTGGTTCGATTCCCTTCTGGTCCAAAGCCATTTTCAAAAAACGACTCCGCTCGCAAAAGTCAGCCATCGACACCTTCGCCAGCGTTTGATTGCTATTAGCAAAATGTTTCCAACACGAAAGAGTTTCAAACTCTCCGCTTTTGAGGCAAAGTGAAATATGACCGGAATTTTAAGACATCATTTACAATTTTGCGTTTTGTCTGTTCTGTTCCATGATATGAAATCACGCAATGCATTTAGCCCGGACATATGATCAGGCTAATAGAAGCTGCTTTTCTGGATAACTAAACAAGAGTACTGGCGAATAGAGTGGTGGTAACACCTCTGTTTAGCAGAGAAACTTATGTAATCGCTCTGATCAGCAATCATTTGGACCCTCAGGACCATAAACAAACTTTTTCTTCTGCCCTGACCCAAAATGAAACATTTATTAGTAACCTAGCTCATGATTTTTTTTGCAAATTTGAAATGAATACGTAAAAAAAAGCAGTTTTGAGAAAGGGAAAAATGAAAAAATTACGCAACAGGCAAAAGTAAGTAAAACTTACTTCAACATTGCACAGTGTTAGCTCGGCATGGATTATTGGCAGTAGAGTATTTTGCAGATCCTTTGGACTTTCGAACAAAAATGGATGAAACGGTAAACGACTAAGTGCTCGTGCCGGTAATTGACCGATCAACAGGTTCATTTTTTTGTACAGAGAACCACCACTCTCTTCTTCCGAAGCGATCACGCATTCTCCGCCAGAAACTTTCAGCGCTGGATCAGCTTCACTGCTCTGCAGAAAAAAAAAACATAAATCTTTTGCGTTTTTTCCTGGTGTCCTGTACTACCTGAATCACGTGTTACATTCAGACTCAAAATCTCGCGCAGATATATTCGAGAATCAAAAATCTCGCGCAGGTATATTCGAGAATCAAAAATCTCGCGCAAATATATTTAGCTGACTGTATTTTTTCGAAAAATGAGATTTTTAAATGACAGGGTGATGTTCTAGCAGTCCGATAACAACAATTTCTCGCTCGCAAGGTTTTCGAAGCTCCTCCATTCCAGCGACTGCTTGGGTAACAGATGAAAGCGATTTGTCACGCTCGTTTAATAATCTTCTCTACCGAAACATCATCTTTCGAATTGCACAGGAAAACATGGATTCAAAAAAGCAATTCAAGGGCATCGGGGGAGGTAGCTACTGTTAACTAAGTGTCAAACAGTGCAAAAAAAAAGGAAT